CCTCCGCCAACCAAAACAAACAGTAATCGTCCCGCGAAACCTTTCCAAAGCTGTGCTAGTCGAATTGCCAGTGCCGGAGGAGTGTTACGGAACGCCCGGACTACAATGGCACTGCCAGTCCTTTTTTTGAGCAGAATTTTGCCTTTACAAAACTGGAAAAATCTCCGTTTGCTAGGCGTAATTCCTGGACCACAATTCAATTCCGGGGATTCCCCCGGCTGATTCATAAGCACGCCAGCGAGTATTTGTATTTTTTGGCGAAAAGAATCTCCGAAGAACGGTCTGGCTTGAGAATAGCAAAGCGATGAATAGAATGAGCCGATCGGACGAGCAAATGTAGGTTTTTGAAATGCGAAATAAGAAGAATTTTTGAGGGGCAGCGGGGGGACTATCTGGTCGGAGGTGCGGGATCAGAAAGAGGGAAAAACCGCGGGTACGCCCAAAAATCTCTTTAGAAAAAAAGTACATTATGACATTCTTTTTGATTTCTTATGAAAATGCGCAGGGCACGATAACAGAATATCGATAGGTCCTCACCACGCCAAAATATGCGTGCAGCTTCTAGCCACGATAAATTTGCCGTCATCGTCGGTGCGTCACCGTCATTTTTAGCACCTTTAAGCCGACTTCAAACATCTTCTTTACTTCTTAAAGGGCGTAAGGCCTTTTTGAAAGTCATGTCGCAGTTGCGACCAAACGATCAACAGCTGCTGCAACTTGGCATCGAGCACCGCGTGTTGAATAAAATACCACACAGGGCCAATTTCGTCAAGCAATGCCACCACAGGGATAATGAAGATTGCTGGTTTTTACGACCATTTGACGGCATCATGTTTCTGACCAGAATTTCCGCTGCTTCCTTTCCGCTTCTGACTGATGGCAGCGAATAGATGTTCATGCGAAACTATCGCCAAGTTACTAAGAGCGAGTATGCAGTTTTAAAGGGGTGATAGCAGAAAAGGCAGTAAAAGGGAAGAAGCAGTAAAACCTAACGCTGGGGTGAACTTGGTTTTGACGATTCGATCACGACAAAATATAGCGGATCCCGGCTTTAATTTTCGCGATACCAGCGTGTCATAAGGTGTAGCGTGTAGTTGTCTAAAACCAGACGCACAAAGGTATCCATTCCGCTGGCTAGATTTTCCTGAAGGTGCTCTCGAGGTGTCGAAGGGGCTCCCGAAGCTGTAGATTTACAAAGTATCGTTTTCTACCCTAATTTCGGTTTCGACGATCTCGCAACCATCGTGAGTCTAACAGCCATGCATCGTCATTTTAGAAGTATCGTGCATAACTCCCAATATAAGCAGCAATTCTTTATCAAATACAAAAATCCACACACAAATACAGCTCATAGTATCTCATAGGGCCAGCAATACACTCAGTAAAATAACTATAAAGGCAGTGGTTTTTGCCGAATATCTCGGCGGTTTTTGCACTTATCGTGATGCAATTTTAAGAATAGGCTTCTGAAGAGTCACTTGATATCCTGTACAAATCCGAAACAAATCCGTTCGTGGAAAGTACGGGTTTTGGCAAATGACGTTTCCGAAACTGTAAAAAAACTATAAAGGCAGTCGAAAGAAATTCATTCAAAAATTCCCATGTATTTTCTTTGCAAATTTACAATACCATCATGGTTGCTAGAACGTTTTTTTATTAAAAATTGTTTTCTAGCATTAATGGTAGCCCATTTTTTGTGATTCGACCCGCCATGGCCCGGCCAGCTGATGCTTCCCATCTTGTAACGTTCTCTAAAAAAATTCCTTCGTCGGAGCGCTATTCTGGCCGCGTCCTTAGCTTGGTCTGAGGCTTTAGTATTGTGGGCCAATTGGAAACTCGATTTGAAACGTCAAGAAAGCGCAGGCAATTCTATAATGTAATCTCTCACAGGTGCGGAAGCGAATAGAAGTTGCCTAAATCACAGCTGAATTCCTAATTTTTGTGCGGGGTGTCTTAGGCGGCTTGGCTACGGCTTATCCGTGCACGTGTGCAGCTGAACAAAATGTTTCTAGGTTAGCATCTCCTCTGAGAAAAAAATTAGATACCCAAGAATTTCCAGCTTGCATCTGGGATTTCTAGGGCGTTACACGGATCCACCGATCGGCCGAACGCACGATCCTAGTTACGATTAAATCGTCGTTTACGTGTTTCGTAATCTTGACATGGCTTTTGTTCAGGCCGGGAAGCTTGGCGACGAAACTTAAACTTAATCCGAGCAGTCGCTGATGCGCCCCCCGTTAATGTTGAGTTTCAGGCGCCTTGGACGTCTTATTTCGCCACCGCCAGGTGTTTTAAAGAGCAAATATAGTAGCAGGCAAGCATAGAGCATTATATAATTTCCTGAAAAAACAAAAATATAGTCCGCTTCCTGAAGCCGTTGCGAAATTAAGCCTCGAGTTCGAATTTCGCCCTCACAAATATCATTGCTTATTGGTCCACGCGAGCGCCTGGGCTGCTTTCGGTGCCGTTTCCCATCGGCCCACAATACTAAAGCCCCAGACCAAGCTAAGGACGCGGCCAGAATAGCGCTCCGACGAAGGAATTTTTTTAGAGAACGTTACAAGATGGGAAGCATCAGCTGGCCGGGCCATGGCGGGTCGAATCACAAAAAATGGGCTACCATTAATGCTAGAAAACAATTTTTAATAAAAAACGTTCTAGCAACCATGATGGTATTGTAAATTTGCAAAAAAATACATTGGGAATTTTTGAATGAATTTCTTTCGACTGCCTTTATAGTTTTTTTTACAGTTTCGAAAACGTCATTTGCCAAAACCCGTACTTTCCACGAACGGATTTGATTCGGATTTGTACAGGATATCAAGTGACTCTTCAGAAGCCTATTCTTAAAATTGCATCACGATAAGTGCAAAAACCGCCGAGATATTCGACAGAAACCACTGCCTTTATAGTTATTTTACTGAGTGTAGGAAAAATACTGAAGTGCCACCAAAAGTATCAGAAATGAAAAATATAGCACAAAAGATACAGTAGCCATAGGTGTGCAAAGAGTAGTGTCTTGTAGCGAGCGAGGAGGAGGCGGAGGAGGAATCGTAAAACTTTTTGTTGCACATTTCATTGAGGAGCGTCAGAAAACCACTACAGTTCGGGAATTTAAATAGAAATGTATAAAATACAAAAATACATAGAAATTAACATACTGTAACTATAAAAATTTTTGAAAAAGAAGGACACTGGGCTCGAATCGTCAAAAGAAAATACTCGGAAAATGGCTATTAAAAATATAGAAAAATCTAACCGGGATTGAAAAATGTAGAATCGACAGTGTAATTTGCATAAATCCGGAAAAGAGGCGTGTCCGTAATTTTGTGTGTCATAGGAATCGAAAAATACAAAAAAAATCGAAATTTTCGATTTTCAAAGCTCTAAAAATTGGGCAAGTTCCAGGGGGCTACTATGCATTAATGGTAGGGGTTTAGGATATTTGGGCGCACCGGTATTTTCTAATATTTTTGTATATATGAATTATGGTAATTAGGGAATTTTTATAGCTGGTTTTTGTACTACATTTGAATAACGGTGAACCCAGGGAATTAGCATGTGGCGGTGGGAGCATTTTGTGTTACGTACGACCAGGGCAAGAGACAACCTGTGGAGCAACGAATTTGTAAGGAATTAGAAAATATACAAAAATATGGAAATATTGAAAAATTCGAAAAAATGGAAATAATTCCTGGATGAAGATGGAAAGGGGAGAAGGCTATTAATGCATGGGAAATACGGGGTTTTTAGGGAAAACAACTGGATTAAATTTTGTAAAACGACTTTTACGGTTTTAAAGGGCCGGTGCAGGCAGGAAAATCTGAAGAATAACTAAATTATTTTAGTATTTCTAATTGCATCTTCTAGAAAATTTGGATTATTGTATAAGTATTTTTAAAGCTGTGAAAACTTTTAAGTAGAAGGGAAATGAATTTCTGATTTCACTTGATTTTTCAAAACCAAAATTAATTTTTAAAATTTTTGTATTTTTTAAAAGGCTTAAATTTTATAGTGTTTTAATATAATTTAGCTAAAAATTAAATCCAGTCTTTTTCTTAATTATGAAATCTATGTAGGGGCTGAAAGCTACGATTTGAAAGTCAAGGGAAGTATATTTTTAAGCTAGCTTTTGTGTGAGCAAGCTCCTCTAAAACTGACTCTGCAGCGTTTTTCAAATTAAAAATGACTATAAAATCCGCTACATCATGTATTAATTGTCAATTGGACTGCATCATATTGCCCATGTCGATGGCTGCAGTGGCTGTGGTGGCAGATTTTGGGGCAAGGGCCCCGTCGACGACGCCGTTCTTTCCCAGTGTGCCCAGGAAGCTGAAAAGGATGGCGTTAATGGATGAAGCTAAGCAAAAATTGGCGCGGGGATAGGCTAGGCGAGGCTTGAGGTGCAGAGCCCATAACCCAAGCGGAATATACCAAAGCGTATGCAAATTTGCCTTTTCTGTTCTTTGAGTACCCAGGCAAGCTGCCTTTTTTTCTTGTACCTGGCAAGACGTAGATTTCTCTGTGTAAACCGTTTTCACTTAAGCTAAATAATGGAACTATTTTGAATACCGTACTCCCACGATTCTTTTTTAAGAAAATTGGACTATAGAGAGTTTTAAAGCCAAAAACCGGTCTGATAATCTCCAGTATAAAGTTAGCTCTTTTTAGAAAGGTTCTCACACGTCTAAAGTCGTAATAAAACAGTTTTACATTAGTGCTGTTCAGTTTGAACACTAACTGACGGAACGAAGTTCTGTTGTATGCACACGTAGCGTAGCGTACGATTTTTTCGCTAAAATGAACCGCTTTAAGGTCTGCTGTGGCATTTTTAAGGGATACTTGATCTCTCATAAACCGTATAATTCGTACAACTTACTGCAACAAATGCTGGAATCCGGAAGGAGCCGTCACCGGGGTCGACACGGAAATTGGAGGAGCTGGCAGTTGAGGTGGTATCGTTTGCTGTGGGGATAGTAGCACCGGGGATTGCATCGTCAATCCTGGTGGAAGCCCTCCAGCTCCCATAATCGATTGACCGGAAAGGACACTTGGGGCTCCGGCTTGCTCTTTAAGGAAAGATGCCTTGAGCAGTAGCCGCGACGTTGGGATTCCTGGAAAAAATTGTGTTTTCTAGATTTATAATTGATTTTAGGTACCTTTCCGTAGTTTTGATAGTATTATAAAGTTAGCATCTTTTATGGTTTGGTAGAGATTAGCCTTATCAGCTGCTCAAGGTCAAAGTAATTTTTATAGCTTCCCTTAAAACGACCGATTTATGATTTTTGCACAAATTGTTGATTGCCAGATTTTCGAGCACACATTTTCCTGCCCAAATCACAAAAATGATACTTCTAATACCTCTAATAGGTATCATCAAGTCCTTACGATCTCTATTTCGAAAATAGCAAAAGGCAACTTCCCATGCCGGGAATCGAACCCGGGCCGCGTGGGTGAAAACCACGAATCCTAACCACTAGACCACATGGGAGGACGGAGAGAGGACGCGGGGACAGGGCCATCAAGGGTTGGCCCCTTCCCAGCTTGCCACCCTTGCCGCTCCCTCCAATTTACTTTTTTGAAAAAGTATTCTCCACCTCCAAAAAAGGGTATATTTTTAGTCGTGCGCAAGACTTTTTGAGTAATCCGGAAGCGTGGCGGCACCCTCACACTCCGGAAATCCACCCTCTAGTCTCTCCATCCGGTTGTCCCGGTTGATCCGCGGGCTTCAGCCTTGGTGAAAAAGTTAGTCCAGACTTAGGCTACCGGATGGAGGTGAAAATAGATCCACACTTTTTGAATGGATCGGATTAGGGTGAGGCATTTTAGAATAGGAGATATAGCACGAATTCGGCCGGCTATTTTTGTGTAGCGTGAGTGCTTTACGAAAAAAGGTGATACTATGGACAGAGATCAGGTTTTTAGGTGTATTTTTGCTGTTGTTTTCAAGAGTTATAAGGAATGACGAATTTTGATAGTCTGGGTTTTTAGCTTAGGCTTAGGCTTATTAGCTTAAAGGGATAAGGGCGGCATAAGTCAATCGATTACGCGCGGGAAGAAAATGTCCTGCGCCTCCCCCTGGGCCCCTCTTTCGCCGCTGCATCTGTTGAACCCCCCCCCAAGGGCTTCAACAGATGGTCCTCATCTCTTTCAGCTCAGCTCAGGCTTGGGCCGCCCGACTGAGACTCAGGCTTGGCTTAGGCTTGGCTGAGGCTTCGCTTAGGCTTAGCTTAGGCTCCAGCTTGGGCCCGGCATATTTGGGTAGGCTTTAAGGTATTTTTCTAAAAATAGACATTTTCATGTTGTTTCTGACTCCCACATGCTTTTCTGCCTCATCACCCCCTCGACCACGGGTCAATATTTCGGGTATTTGACTGGATTGGGTGGTGGGGGAAGAATTGAGAGTCATTTGGGAAATCCGATCCTTAGGCCCCCCGCTGCTGCTTGAAGTCCACGCTTTTTTTAAACGAAAAGCCGACGCCCAGGTAGATTCTTGGAATTTGGGAAAAGGGGACGTTTTGAAAATTTAAAAGTAAATGGAAAAATTTTGGTCGTTCTAGGTATCTTTAGAGTATCAAAGTCTACTTTTTCTGTCTTCCAAAAGATATTTTTCGGGCATTGTAGGTTTATGATGGTTTGACATGCTTTACATGCCTAGTTTCAGGATGTTGCTGGTTTTTTACAGTTAAACGACACGCTTTTTACCTTAAAAAATTGCTACTATCTACATTTTGAAACTATGATGGATTAATTAGCATAATTAAGCCCTGAAAGATACCTTATTACATCCCTCCCGACTGCACAACCGCCGCCACTGCTTCCCATTGAACTTCTTCCGAATCCCGCCAGGTGTCGTCACAATTTCTCCCTTCTTGTAGCGTTGCTAAATTGAGTCATATAGAATTTATTGGTATCTACAGTATCCCAAAACCAAAAAAATGTTTTTTTGCGTTGTGCTGATTACCTCGTCGTTAAACACGATTCTTTTTAAGCCCTAAAGAAGTGAAAAATCAGAAATATATGGTAAAATACTGTAAAAACTCACAGCAAGTCCGGCAGCCGTGAAAGCACTTGGACCGTCGAGGTCGTCGGAGGAATCGTTTTGCGAGAATCGTGGGTTGACAGGGACAGAGGCTGAGGCATGGAGCGGCATTTGGAGACGTGGAAATGGATGAGGATGGGGATCGCTTGACGATGATGTCAAGGGACCGCAGAGAGATACTGGTGGTGGTGGCAGTGGAGCTGAAGTGCCGGCTTGCATGTCGTGGATCTGAAATCACGGAAATGTATGTTTAAATGACAAACGAAGCCGGCTTCGCGTTGCGTGTAGCGTTGCGTATCACGGTAGGTGATCGAAATCTTACCGAAAAGTCCTTGCTCTCATCCTCGACGTCAATCACCTGTTGCCGCTTGACGACCGGCGAAATTTCCGCGGCTGTCATCCTGCAAAGATAAGCACTAAAAATGGACGATAGAGGAATGGTTAGATTTACAGTACAGTTAAAGCCTAAAAACATACCCATGCATGACGCCCTGCATATTCAACATATGCTGGATACGGATGGCGTTGAAGAGGTTCAAGTGGCTTTCGGCTGGGGTGGGGAGGGGGAAGGCAGTTGACGGGGTGGCTGGTTGGGTCGAGGTGGTTGAGGGTACGGTGGGGCTACTGTAATATGGGCATTGATTAGCGGAAATTGAGCACAAGATATCTCTAGCTTACTCCCTCTTTCTCTCTCTCTCTCTCTCTCTCTCTCTCTCTCTCTAACCTACCCGACGTGGACAGCTTCTGGTCTCGGTGGCAAAATTCCATCCTGATGTATCTCCTCGTACCACGGAGCCCGCAGCAATCGAATGTGACTCCGCGGGATCCAGATGACCTGCCCTTCGACCGTACGCACCTAAAAAAGCAGGGGATTTTTACGTGCTGTTCGCTCGAACTAATGACGTAGCGCCGGAAAAGCGAATCTTCGGATGGCTTACCTTGTACTTATGCAAAGCCTTGCTCTGCAACAATTCCGCGGGACGCCAAACGGTCTGTGCCGGGTTCCGCCGGATGCAAACTACGGCCTGGGTACGGATCTAAAAGAAGAGATAGCTCCAGAAATTTGATGAATTCGTACCACTGCCGGTAGCGGGGCAAAATCGCCGATGACAGCACCATCGTTTTCGGAGAGGATATCCTCGTAGGAGAGCTCGGTGCCGTCGTCAAGCTGTAAAAAGAAGGGATATTATCGTTGAGAAATTATCTATTAAATTTGGCTATGGATATTTGGATACCTTCTAAATTACCTATATTCCTCTAATACACCCCCATATTTCAGTCGTTTCCTGGCTTCCATGGCTTTAAAAATTCCGTTTAATCCGACATTCCGTTCTACACCGTTCTTATAGCCAAATTGGCTGTTTTGCGTTTTACTACACGACCGTGACCTTGTTTTTGGCACGGTGCCTACTATAATCCAGCCAGCCGGGTGGATGACATGGATTTTCTGAGGCGGCTTTTCCCATTCCTAAGCCCTGTGCACCCGGAAATTCCTCATGGCTACAGAGCTCAAACACAGGAAAACGCTACTTTATCAAAATCAAACTGTAAAAATGCAAGCTACAGTAAGAAATGACTCCTAGAATCGGTGTAAAACTGTGATTATACAATTTTTGGGCTGACAAAAATTTTTCTTTGTCTAGCATCAAAGTTGTAATATTTATTTTCCAAAGCTTTTCCCAGGACAAGATACCGACCTGTACCAACACGTGCCGCGCATTAATGACAGCCGACAGGAAACCTGATTGGAAGGATTTATCGGGCATCCTCGCGCAAACCCTCGACCCCCGCCAGTCGGCCAGGTTGAACGGGCCGTCGTCGTCGATCAGTTCGGCTTCTGGAATATGATCTTAATATTAATAATATAATTTCTGTCAAGATTTTATAGATAATTTATATATAAGACCTACCAGGCGAACTATGCGATGTGCCGGGCACTTCCTGGCGCAGGTTGTGCATCGGCTGAAAATATATCTCGATGATTTGAAGCCAGTTTTTTTGCGTTTTATATACTCTGCCCCAACACGGGTGTATTTTGAATTTTGTGCAACAGCGTTTAAATTAACACCGTAATCTCTAGTTTGCGTCGAAAATTGTCCCCGCTATGACACAAAGCAGAGATCAAAATTTACAAGTCATGGAAAGAAACGTACCTCAATGCCGCCCCGGGAGAGTGGCGGGTACAATAGGGTGGCGGCGGAGACGACCACGCCCCTTGCCTGAAAAACATTAGTTAATTCATCATTCGCATATCTGCATAAGTTATAGATTAGCTTTGGTTTTTATATATTTTTATCCCTCTAGTTAATTAAATTAGTGAAATTTTTTGCTTAACTTTGACCATTCATAGCTTAAAAATTAAATTATTAAAATTAAACCAGGAGTTCAGGAAATTAAACTTAAGGCCGCTACCTTAATTAAATATTCAAAGTATTGGAAGTATTTCACTGCCTTATTTTTCTATGGCATTCCATTAATTTTATATGGTATTATCATCCCCAGGAATTTTTGAACTTCCCGCGACTTCACATATTCTCCAGACCCGCGTTTTCTTAATCTCAAGCTCAAAAATCGATTAAAATCGGCCCAGACGTGTTATTATGATGGGCGGGGAATTTCTTTTTTTTTTTTTTTTTTTTTTTTTTCTCTCTCTCTGCCCTTAAACTAATGACACGCTCCGCATTATGGCACCCAGCAGCTCTACGCGACCGTCAAAAGAGGATTTTAGCGGAAGTGGGTCCTCCCTCAAAATTGCGGCCCACCATCCTGCTTATAGTGGCCGGATGCGGAGGGCTGACCCAAAAATACGGATGCCACGTCAAACGTGAACTACTCCGAGCCGGGTTTTAGACGTGCCATAACAAGTTTTTTGGGGCGTTCAGAACACTGAATGAACAATGAATGAACCATACTAATGACGCCTATATTTTACTATTTCCAATATTTGGAGAAAATTTTGTTTCAAATAAAATTAGCGTCGAAAAGGGGGCAAGTTAGCAGGGATTCTTTAGAAACCGCAGCGACTTTGCCTAAATTTTGATTTGTGTTCTGCCGTATCGATGAGTATCGTATACCGTACCGTTAATTGGAAATTATGGGGATTCCGAAAAACTTTAGCTTTTTTACATTCTAGGGCATGCCAGCATCGATGATTTAGGAAACGGCGCTACCGTACCTGTGGCTAGCAAAAAAACCTAATTCCTCGCATTCCGGAAAATGCAGTAAAAGAAGATTACGGGCAGGCTAGCCGGGATTCCTGAGGAAACAGCCCGCTAATTTGGGTGGACAGGCGAGCAGTGATTTTTTTAGGAAAAGCCTCCAACATGTCGAGTTATATGGCAAGCTAGCAGAGATTCTGTGGGAATTTCTCAGTCAATCGGCAAACTTTACAAAAGTATTTACTACCTTAGCGCAAAAAGAAATGAAAAAGCTTTATGCAAAAAGCGGACCTCAGATCCCACGGCGATCTAGCAGAGGATCTTTAGGAGCTAATCGCTCTTGGCTGTAGTATGAGTGAAGTTGTAAACCCTACCATTAACATCAACGACCTACGGTAGGACCGGAATCAACACGGAATGATGCAGAACTTGGACGGGTGGCTCCCAGAAATTCCGTTTTATACACCCCGCCCCTCAAATGGTACAGAGTTCATCACGCGTAAATACAGGAGACGTCACGCGCCTCCTCCAGAATTCCGCATTTTCCACAATACGGAAGTTATAGTGAAGCCCTACTTCTTACTCATCCGACAGAACCACGAATGCTGAATCGCCAAAATTGACGTAGGGCCGGCGGGATTTTTTTGAAGCCTTAGAAAGCGTGAGGGTGTGGGTGAAGCCAAAAATAACGGAAAGAGGTATATTCGGAATGCGTAGATTTCGGGAGGGATGAAAATAGCGGTCAAGGATTATGGCTTCGCTTGGACTTTGTAAAAATTGCGACCCACAACTCTGGACACACGTTTTGTGGACGTCATCTGAGGATCCGAGTCCGAAGTTTAATTCTACGTGTAGCGAGGATTGAGGGCAAACTTGCAGTGATCATTTAAAAAAAACAATTTCTATGGCATGGGTCCTGGCAAGCTAGCAGGGATCATGGTCGAACGTTTTTTAAAGAGCCAGCTAGCAAGGGTCTTTAGGAAGCTGGCTGCACGAGGGTAAGTTGGAAGAGGGCATTGGGGAATGTGGTCTTTTTAGAGCGCGCTAGCAGCAAGCATTTAGGAAGCTCGTTAGCAAGCTAGCAGAGAGTTTTTTGGAAGCATGACATACTCGCGCGATCTAGCAAAGATTAGTTAAGATGCTTTTTTATCCTAGGATAAACTTTCAAAGATTTTTAGGGGACACAAGATTATTTCTGAAGTCTTTAAGCTACAGGGTGGCGATTAAGTATTTGCGCCTGTTTCAAGCACGTTTTTAGGAGCTAAATCGTGGTCGGCAGAAAAAACAAATAAGTCCATTTTGTAGAGAATTTTTTTGCTATATCGGATGCAAAGTGAAAACAGGAAACCGCTTCACCACACAATTTTAATTTGTCTAAACATGTAAAACCGCGTTTTTTTGTATGGATTTTCTTCATTTTTGAGGAGCTCAGAAATTTTTTTTGAAGCAGCTGGATATATTTCCCGATGTTTGATCGTAAAAAGAGCTATCTGAACTTGCTAGAAAAAAAATGGGTATGGGCAACAGGGAGTCCTGAGTAGGGCACGGAAGCGAAAGTAAATTTTGGCAAAGCTCGAGGGCCGCGCATCCTGTCTCAGAGCGACTTATCGCAGAAGAATGCATTCTAAAAAATCGCACCTTTGAGGTATCTTCTTCGTTTTGCTAACAAAATGTAGGTAATTCTTGCGTCTCTTTACTAGCCGCTTTAGCTAGAGCGAGAAAAGCTAACATCTCCAGCCCATGATTTTTTAAGAGTGGAGCAAACGGTTCGCATAACCATGCATTTCATTCCATCGTTTTGTGCAAACATTTTGAGCTTTTTGAACGCCCTTAAGCTTTTCCGGACCGTTTGGATCGCTTAACCAAGTCCCCATCATGGAAAACATCTTCGACAAGTGATTGTAGAAATTTGAGACATTTTGTGTTTTTCGTGAAAAAGCCTCCCGCGCGGCTCAATTTTGGTGGTCGAGAAAACTACGAATAAATCTAGGACCCGATTAGAAATAATTTTTCGGTCTACTACGTTCGCTAAAGGGCATTGCAAAGAATATAAACATCACTTGTTATTTTGGCCAACTGAGATACTTAGGCAGAAAAGCTTAAACAAAGGGACGAGATACGCGCGGCCCTCGCTGATGTTTGGGCGCTTCTCTCAAAGGTCGTATCTTGAAGGTTTAAGAATTAGGGCCGTAGATTTTTTGGTATCCGTAATTAGGTTATATTAGCTACATTATGGTCGTAAAATAATTTCCGAGACACGCTTCGGTCATTTTTTACGCTGCCTTTCCTGGCGCAAATACTTAATCGCCACCCTGTAGAACAAGCTA